GGAGGGAGCATTCCCGCCCGGAGGAGGAGCGGGGCTGGCCAGCCGGGCGGAGGCACCCGGAAGGGGGCGTTCGACTCCCCGCCTCCTCGGAGCCCGCTGGGCGGGAGGGCAGCGCTTCCGGGGGCTGGGGAGAGGAGCGGGCACCTGGGGCGGACCGAGCACCCCCCTTCGCCTGGTCGCCTACCCCCCGCCAAGCGCTATCCGGCCCGTAGATATTGCTCGGGCCTGCTCCGAGGAAGCGGCCGATGGCCCTCCGCGATTGCGCTGTTGGGAGTACGCTCATGCACTCTAACTCTAGGTGCCCACCAGCAATTCAGGGACACCCGAGTGCAGCGAGAGAAAAGGGAATGCTTGACATTTAGACGGCGCCAACCACATGGGCAGTGCTGGGTATAGAAGCCGACATAGTTACCAGTGTATCCCAATTGAGAGATGGTGTCAGGACCCGAGGGCACTCCCGAGGCAGATGACCTCTTGCCTTAGACCGAGGAGGCAAAACCTTTTAAGTGTTCCTTCACTTGGATCCTTGAGCCTCCAGCTAAACATCTGCAAAAACTGAGACGTTTTAAGAACTTGGTGACAGAGCTAGCCTGTGAACCTGCTGAATCCAAAAGGCCAGGCACAAACCTAAGGAATGAACAAAAGAAATAAAACAAAATGGATACTTTCTTCCACCACACCTCCATCGCATTGTTGACTTACGAATCTCAGCTTCTTACCCGTGCTTCTTGGCATATGTTCCCAGTGGCTTTATAATTTTAGTTGAAAAGGAACTGTGTCTTTGCGCAGTTGAGAAACCTGCCTTCATTGCATTCCTTGGTTTTGATTCCAATATGCTGTCTTGTTTAATTGTTTCTTGATCCAGAGGAACTTAGTCTGGCTTTTCTCAGTGCACATTTTCCCCGAACTTTTTTTCTTCTGAGGTTACTTCTTGCTCACTTATGTGTTGTTTCCTAGAAAAAGGGAGGGAAGAGCCAGTAGATCTACTTTAAGCAATGAATTGGTCCATGTCCTCTATTACAGGGATTTCATTGCAGATAGAAGGGTGATGACTATTTTAAGGTACACTGGCATGCACTGTCTGAAACTCACATGCTGTACCCCAGAAGGCATTAAGTATCACAGTGGAGGGCTAAGTGTTGAGTTGGTATTTTGTGTAAGACTTTTAGGGCTAGAAAGTTTAGGGTGTTGGCCAGCTCACAGAGAGGCTGTGAAAGGAATGATGGTGGATCCACACCATAGTAGTAATTTTGATTAATGACACAAAGAAACCTGTTGTCTGCGATAATGAATATAACTGCAGTGACTTGTTTTTTAATTGTGTGATGAAGGGGGCTAATCTGTCATACAACCTATCAATTGGGCTGATGATGTCAGTGTTCCAGTGGCTTCTAACAGGCATTAATACCTGTTGAAAATGGATGCTCATTGGGACAATTCTAGTTTTTCCACTTGGTTGTACAGAGGCTTAACCTCTTTGTTGAAAAGCAGCAACAAGAAAGAAAACCTGTTTGGACATATATGAACCCCCTGAGCCAGGCTGTTAAAGACACAGTCTTTGCTAAGGAGACCCAGGTAGCATTAGTTCATAATCATATCCTGACTACCCATCTGGGAGAACTGGCTCCAGGAGCAGAGTTTGGCATCACTGCTAATAGCACATAGATTTTTTTCTGTCAGATTCTATTAAAGTTTGGGCCTTTGGAGACCTGTCAGAGGAGAGAAGCTGTAAGAAAATTTTTGCAAATGTCTGAGTAGTTCATTTTGGTATCTTGGCGTTGAACTTCCTAGTTCTGTTGATTAACAGCAGCCTTTTGGAGAAGTTGCAGGGTTCCTTGTAGCCTGAACAATCCTTTGCCAATAATTCTTAAGCTGCTTTAAGCAAGTCTTGCCCAGCTAGGGCCCTGTGAAGACATTCTAAGCTTGTTGCAGCCAACCAATACACCCTGGTATTGACAGGTTCAGCAATTTTCTAGACCTTGCTCAGCTCCATTTCTGTGATGGAAATGTAGTATTATCTTGTAGGACTTATCTTCACTCCTCTGTTCTCTGAATATGCACAAATTAGAAGCCTTACTTCCAAATATTGAAAAACTTAGGAATTATTTTAGAGGGGGGTGGGCAATGGCCATGGAATAAAATGCAGAGAAACACTGCTTTAAAGGGTGTGTAGAGTATTAGAAAATTTAGAGGTAGAGTTGTGTGAACACTTTGTAGTTTAAACAATTACATGGTCCAGTCTGAAGCCTTGTGGACCACAAACCTGGAGTAAAATCTATTTGGAGAAGCTCCAATACTTGCTTATGAGTTAATTGGATCATAGTGTCCCTTTGAGATTTGTGAACTTCCCAAAAAGTTTGAAATCAGGAACACTTGATCTACATGCTGGACCAAACCACTACAAGCTGGGCTGAGAAATGGACATCATTATGGAATGCATTTGTTGATGTTTTTGCTTGTTTGGTTTTTGCTTTGCTTTTGTTTTAGATCCACATGCAACTCCTTGACTTCTAGGCCTGTTGAAGGAGGTGGGGGGAAAGCGTTCTTTCTTTCTTCATAGAGCCAGTGCTTAAATCTTTATATTTCTGAAATGCAGTTGAAAGTCTCTCTCTTAAGAAGTTCTTCCGCAATTACAAGCAGGTCCTTTTTTGGCTGGCTGCATTTTCTTATGAGACCTCAGGGTGGGGAGGTCTCACTTTTCTGTTAATCATCTACTGGAGCTGGGGGGAAAGAAGGTAAAAACTTGGGGCATTACTAATTGAAGGACATTGTCGGCCTAAGTAGGAAAGTGATTAGAGATTACCCGTGAGGAGATGCTCCCAGGTTGTATTGGTGGATTTGTTCCAGTTGACAGGATTCCAAAATGGAAAACTGATTTTTCTACTGCTGAAGAAAGAGCCCAGGAGCAGGCTCAGAGACAGCACTCACAGCCTGGGGAAGCCACGGCTTCCACTGCGTGTCTAGGAAGCGCTCTTTTCAGATGCTCTGAGGCCTCCACTGGCACAGGGAATTACTCTACTTCTCATCAGGGTGGGCTTCAGCTGGCATGCTCTGCTCAGAAGCGAGAGAGTATGAAGGGGCTAAATGCCCAATTTAAATGTTTCTCGGTTTATCCCCTGTGCGTAGGTCTGAGCAGTGCTGAGGTGTCAGGGCTGTTTGTGTCACAGGAAGAGCATGCTTACAGACCCAGCTGTTTGAATCTTTCGGACATTTCATTCCTTAGCTACAGTTTGTTGCCATATCAGAGTTGCATGCTGTACCTAGTCACAAGCCCCAGAACATCGCAATGCAGAGGTTTAGTGTGGGTGCCTGTTGTCGTTTTTGACTCTAAGGGCTCTGAGATGCCAGTTTGTCCCTAGGCTGTTAGGTGGCCTGTTTCATCTCAGCCACGGGGTGAAAATGGCTCAGGGACCAGTAGGCACTGGCCTGCACATTTCCAAATGTCCTCTTTCTAGAGCTGCTTCTTTGAGGCATTTGTCACCTCTCCTATGGGACTTGGTGGAATGACAAAGCAGCCTCTCTGGAGAGTGTGAGTAGGGAATAGGAAAGAGACAGCAGGTGGGCAGGGTGATTGGAAGTGGAATATTTTGCTCCAGGTCAGTGTCTAATTGGAAGTCTCAGATTAACCTAAAAACAGATGAAAACATTTCCCCGCCTTCAAAAAAGTAATTGGTAAGCCAGCCCTTTCTTCCCAGGGGAAATGAAGTCACCTCTCATTTCTGAAGCTGATCCTAGCCCAGGATTGACTCACAAATAAATGTGCCAAAGCAGAGAAAGCATGTGTTTTTACATAATGATACTCTTTAGGGGGAAAATATATTTTGGGTTCTTTTTTTCCTCCTGTTTTCCAAGCCAGAATCCTGAGGCCCAGTATCCTTTGCACCATTTCCTGGGACTGCTTCTATCAGATTGAAGAGTTCTGACCATTCCCTGCTGCCCTGTGTTCTCCCTCACTTCTCCAGAATCCCTTCCAGCATGCAGACTGTGACCCAGGCATATGCAAACTAGCTAATGACAGTCACATATTGGGGAGAGGAATTCACGGTGGAGACAGACAAGAGGTATTCCTATAGGAGGTACCCTCGTTACCTTAACTTACTTGGAAAAGAACTTCCCTCCGCTATATGTTAATTGAAAGAAGCATTGAAATGTAGTGCCTGGTGTGTGGTGGCGATGAGGCGTGTGCTTTGCAATATTTGTCCAGGAGCAGGACTGGACTGTGCTAGCCCACGCACAGGCACTCATGCTGTGTGAGCTGACTGGTGGGGTTGAGAGTTCCATCTGGGACTGGATCAGCTAGGCTGACCTAGTGAGCAGATCCCAGCTGAGTGCCAGGATTTGAAAATCTATAGGTTTGTCCTTTGGTTCTTAAGCTCCATGTAGGCTCTCCCACTCTGCAGTGTCCAGGATTCATTCATTTTTCCATTCAACAAATATATATTAAGTACCTACTGTGTGCCAGGTAGGGAGGTACATCAGTGGGTGAGGCAGAGAGAAGTCTATGCCTTTAGGAAGCCTGTATCTTAGTGGGATACAATAAATAAGTTAACTAATAGATTTGAGACAAGAGAAGTGCTAAGGAGAAAAACAGAAGACAGGAAGAATGTGGGAAGTGCAGTTTATATAGGGCGGCCAGGGAAGGTCACCCTGAGAATGACATTTGAGTAAAACTGTGAAGGAGGGGAGAGACTGAGCCATGCTCATTCTAGGGTGAGGGGCAGAGGGCGAGAACATAAGCAGAGAGAACAGCAAGTGCAAAGGCCCTGCCTGAGAAGGGGCCATATCTAGCATGTTCAGGAACAGTAGGGAGGCCCTCATGGCTGAAGCAGTGATAGGTTAGAGAGGTCATGGGAGACAAGTCACTTTGGCTCCTTTGAATGGGAGATGGGATGCTATCGGAGGGCTCTGAGCAGAGGAATAACATCATAATTTAAGTTTGATGGGTTTCACTGGACCCATGTTGAGAATAGACTTAACAGGGACCAGGTCAGAAGCCCAGCTAGGAAGAAGGCTTTCACAGTTACACAGGCGAAGAGATGATGGGGACCTGAACCTGGGTGATAGAGGTGGTAATGAAAACAGTCAGATTCTGAATATATTTTGAAGGTAGAACCAAAAGTGTTTGCTGACGCAAATGCAAAGTGTGGGGGGAAAAAGAAGGGTCCAGGATAACTCCTAACACTTTAGGGCTGAGCAGCTGGAGGAAGAGAGTATCAATTCACTGCAGTGGGGAAGTTAGAGACACAGAGTTAGAGAGATATCAGTAGCCCTCATTGGGGCTAGTTAGATTTGAGGTGCTTATTAATACATCCAAGTGGAGACTTCAGTAGGTATTCGGATATACAAATTTGAAAATAAAAATTTGGGAGTTGTCATTATGTAGAATGTGTATGTTAAATCGGTTTTTAAAACTATGAGACTAGATGAAATCACCCAGGAAATATGTGTAAACTGAAGAAAAACAGATCTGAAGACTGAGCCCTGGGGCAGCCCAACCATTTGGAATTTGAGAGGGAGGGGAGGGCCCAGCAAAGAGGTAGCCAGAGAGGTAGGAGGCCAAAATGGCAAGTGTGTCCTCAAGCCAAGTGAAGAAATGTTTCAAGGAGGAAGAGGGGTCAACTGCCAGATTAACACACAAGATATGAGATCTAAGAATTAACCATTAGATTTAGCAAGGTGGAGGTCACTGGTGATGTGAGCAGTTTTTGTGGTATGGATGGAGCAGGGGCAACATGGTTGGAGCAGGTTCAAGAAAGACTGGCAGGAGAGAAATTAGGAACAGTAAATACTCTTGCAAGGAGTTTTTCTTGGGGGAAAGAAAGAGAAATAATAGATCTTAGCTAATGAAGGGGATTTTCTTGATGAAATTGTGGATAAACATCAGGGTCATGGGCTGAGGCTGGGGTCAAGTTAGGAGTAGGGAAGACTGGATGGCTTGGTAAAGTGTCTGGGTGGAGACAAGATCTCCATTCTTTATTTGCCTTCCTCCTTTGGCCTGTACCATTAGCAAGGCATCACTCATTGTTGTTCATATTCAATGAAAGTCAAAGAAATTCCTTTTATTGTTATAGAGCTCTTTTCTATGGTTATTGTGATTGCTGGAGATTTGTTTCTCAGAAATACTCTGTGCAGTTTGGAGTCATTCACAAGCTGCCCATTTGTCAGCTCCCTTTGAGGTCCGACTTTGTTCTCTAAAACCAGCCTGGCTTGCTTTTCCCTTACCAGCTCTGAATTCTTCCAGGCTAGGCAACTGGGAAAGAGTAGGCTTAGAAACTGTTTTGTTGGCTTTAGGCCCAGCTAAGCTGACCAAAATAGACAGCAGAAGGACTGTTTGTGCAGAGTGAAATTCCTCCAGGAGAAATACCATAGCAGGAAGCCAAGAAAGCCATAGCTGGGATAGTAGGAACCTGAGGCAAAAAAAAAAAAAAGCTGAGTACCCACAAGGCCTGGCTATGGAGTTTGAGCCAAGTTCTCTCTCAGAGGGAAAAGAGCTTCGTAAAGCCTACTGGCTTGTTTCTTTGGGCCCTTTTTCTCTCTCATTCCCCGTGTCTCAAGTGAAAGACTAGTGGAACAGCCCCTAATCCGATGGTCAGAGCTTCGGGGTCCCTCAGGCCTCTTCCTGTTATGCAGTGCTCCCTGTGTCAGCCCGTGGAAAGACCCCCAGGACAAAGACACCCTCCCTCCTGGGTGGCAGGGGAAGTGCTGTGAAGGGTCCCCTGCTGCCTGTACACTAGCACATGCAGGAGCACTTGCCCCATACCTGTAGGGGTGGGAGGGAAGAGGAAAGTTTTACCCCGAGTAAGTAAGTTACAAGTGAGCTCTGAAGGAGGACTGGAGATAGACAAATGGAAGAGAGAATGCTTGGGCTCCAGATGATAGAGGGCATGTTACAGTTCCAGAAATGGAGAAAACTGGTGTGCTATTAGGAAAGTTGGAGGGCAAGAGATAAAGGAGAGGTAGAGGGCGAGGGCGGGGGCAGTTGTTTAGGCCTCTATAAGCTTATCATAAGACCACTGGAAGCTCTTTAAGGGTTTAATCAGGGGAGTGGCTAGATGGAATTTGCATTATAAAATGATTCTGACCAGCCCTAGCCAGCTTGGCTCTGTGGTTAGAGCATCAGTCTGCGGACTAAAGGGTCTCAGGTTTGATTCCCCCCAAGATGAGTAGATGTTAGCTAGTAAGAGAGAAGAAAGAGCTCTAAACAAGGAAAGGGCAGCAGCGGAGATGAAGGCTCTTCAAGGATCTGGAGGAAGGCCCCTGGTGCCAGGGCATTTGAAAGCTGGGAGAGAATGGGCAAAGGTGACAGCTCAGTGTTGGAAGTTCGGTGGGCAGCCCAAGTGGAAGGCCCACACAGGGCTGGATGTACTGGTCTGCACTGGGAGGAGAGACCTAGGAGTCGCCAGCCTATGGAAGGTACCTGAAGCCAGAGAAACATCAGTATTTAAGGTGCGTGAAAGGAAGAGGAACCCACAAGGGAAAGAGGTGACCAGAGAGGTAGGAGAAAATCCATGAGGTTTTCAAGGAGGTGGGAATGGTCAAGAACTGAAGAAGGTCTCTTAGATTTAGTAGTGAGAAGGTCCTTGGTTACTTGCACAAGGCCAGAGAGCTGGGGTGAAAGTGCCAATGCCCCTGCTAGGGAAATCAGCAAGTGAGAAATGAGGGGGACTAGCAGGTTTGGCCAGGGAGGGAGGAAGAGAAGGCTGTAGCTGGAGGGGACGGAGGTGGAGATGAAGGATCTATCTGTACGTCAAGAGCTGAGATACTCGGGATGCTTTTCTGCTGGTTTTAGAATTAAACTGGCTTTTCCAGTATAAGGAAAGGAAAGACAGGTGTGGTCCCATCTGGCACTGGACACCTTGTTTGATGTCCTTGGAAGTTTTTCTTGAAGCCTAAGAGAGCTGCTATTGCTTGTATAGTAAGTCACTGTAAAACTTCACCAGCCAAGGGACTCTGTAGGGAAAGTTTTATCCAACCTGAATGATAGAACTCTGAAAGAAATGACACCTTCTCTTTCAAGAGTATGCAATAATCCCACTTACCAGTGTTGCTAAATGTAGGTTTCAGTGATGTAAAATGCTGTTAAAAGCAAATGGTACAGCCCTGGCCAGTATGGCTCAGTTGGAGCATTGTCCGGTACACTGAAGAGTTGAGGGTTTGGTCCCCATTTGGGGTGCGTACAGGAAGGCAACCAATTGATGTTTCCCTCTCCTCCCCCTCCTCTCTCTCTTCCCCTCTCTCTAAAAAAATCAATAAGCATATCCTCGGGTAAGGATTAAAAAAAAGGTATAATTAAAATGGTGGAAGTGGTATAAAACAATTACATGACTGCGTAAGAGTCCTTTTGCAGTCTTCATACAACTATTTAGCCTCACTTTGAATGATATGAAGGAAAACACAATTTATGTCCAAATTACACATTTTAAATATAAGGTTCCAATTAATGAGGTTCTAAAGTACTTTCATCAGAGTCTTGTAGTTACATATCTAAGCCATTTCTTAACCACTTCTCATTTCCAAACACCAACTGGAAATGCTTCTCTTTTCCCTTTTATGGTTAATCTCAGGATATAATTCTGCAGCGGCGGGGAGATAGATCGGTCTTTGTTTTGGTTGCCCAGGGGCCACAAAACTCTGAGTGATCCTAGGAGAGATACTTACAAACATTGGTTTGCAATCTAGCCGAGTATCTCAAGAGCCAGCTGGGGAGGAAAATGAAACCAAACTGAAATGGTGCAACGTCAAGCACCAGCAATCTGCAGCTTGCTTCAGTAGATTCTGCTGTAGCTTCCTAACTGAAGGCTCACTCGGAGCCCAGCCAAATCTCCAAACAGTTTTGAGTCCAGGGTAATAATGACTGCAGAGGGAGAGAGGGAGATGGGAAAGGGAGATGAGTAAGAAGCTCTAGGCCAGTTTTCATTTTGTTTGCGCTCCGTCCTGTTCTGATGTCCTTCCGTTTCATAACTGAACATGTCTCAGGGAGAGTCATTTACCAATCTTAGCTAAGTGAACCTGAGCCCAGGGCGCCTCCTGGGAAAGCCTCTGCCTTCCCTTCCCAGCTCTGTGAGCAACTAACTCATCTGTGTGTTTATCAGTAACATGGTCTGAGAATTATAAAAATCTTAAAGGCAATTCAGTCCAACTTACCACCGCATCAGACAGCCAGTCTCTGACAGACACACATTCTGCCTCTGGCTAAATGGTTCCAGAGAAGGGAGAACATTACTTCAAAAGGCAACTGATTCCATCTTTTGAAAGTTTTCCCTCTTAATCTGAAATCTGCCTTCTTGAAATTTCCTCCCTGAAGTCTTGATTCCACCCTTGAACCCACAATGGAATAAATACCCTGGTGGATATTGCTACTCGGATATCCTGGTCACAACAGTTACTGCTCTCCTCTGAACCAGCTCCCATTGCAAATCCACCTTTCAAAATGTCCCTCAGAATGAAACTTGACACTCAGATGTGTCCCAAGTGTGCAGAACACACTAGGACTATTATTTTTCTTCTATGATTGAACTTCAGGAAATGCAGTCCAAGATTGCAGTAGCTTTTTTGGCGACCACATCTAGATTCTCTTGGCGCCTGTTTAGCTTTGAGTTAAAACCACTGGGGCTTTTTCACATGAGACTCACTGTGACTCTGCCTGCCTGCCTGTATACATGTGACTTTTTAAAAAAATCTTAAGTGCAGAATTTATTCAACTTCAAAGTTTAAACCACCATTTATTGATTACCCACTATGTGCTTAATGCTTTTCATATCAATTGTTGACACTTACTGGAATCCCATGAGGATGACTACTTGTGTCTCACAGATGGTGCAGTGGGACTGAGAGAAATATCTCAGCCTCCCCACTGATGACCAGCACAGTATAAATTCTCATTTAGGTCTGGAGCCTAATACACCTACCAGTTTTTTAAGAGCTCTTTGAACCCTAATACTTACACCCATTGTATTTACAATCCTTCTTGGTCTTGTGGCATCTCCAACTTGAACGAGCCTACTAGGTGGTTGCACAGCTTCCCAAAGTTGGGAGGTGGTTAGACTACTCTAAAGCCGCATTTTCCAGCCTCCAGGGCACAAAACCAATTTGGTGAGTCACAACCAGCATTTAAAAATATGACCCCTGGCCAGTATGGCTCAGTTGGTTGGATCGTCATTCCGTATACCAAAAGGTGATGGGTTTGATTCCCAGTCTAGGACACATACCCAGGTTGTGGGTTTGACCCTGGGTAGGGGGCATGCAGGAGGCAGCTGATCTCGATGTTTCTCTCCCTCCCTTTTTCTCAAAACCAATTTTTAAAATGGTTTAAAAATAAATAAAAATATGAAATAGAGTAGAAAAATATCAAAGTCCATCACATGTAGTAAGGCAGATTTTGTTTCTGGAAACTCTTATTGCATGAGCACAGGACAGGGAAGTGTGTGGGTGTATGTGTGGGTATGTGCGTGTGCACTGGGTCTTGATGTAAGTTGTTTTTATAGCTGTGGTTCATGGTCTGAATAGTTTGAGCACTGCTCTAGAGAAAAGATGTTTTTGAGTCAACTTAGGTTGTTTTCATTATAATGCTACAACTTAATTATGTACACACACAAAGCTGTGTATCAACTCATTGATCTAGCTCCTATAAAATTAATTAAATAACTACCAAAAAGCCAGTAAAATTCAAACCAACGTCATCATTCTGGAAGGACAACATTAGTTTGAACCTGAATCGCTGCTGTCAGCATAAGCACAGCACAGACTTGACACCTTGGGCTCCTTGACTTCCGCACGCCCACCCTTCAGTGTCTAGTGCAGAGAGACACAGTCCTCCCACGCTTCTGAGGAGCTGTCATTCCTCATGTTGCACAAGTGTATCTTGAGTTAAACGTGCAGAATTAAGTTGTCTTAATTATCCCACGCAGTTAGAATGGTGCCACTTGGCACTAATGTAATTGTAAACACACACATAGGCCCTGAAATGTGCAAATCTGGGGTAAGCAACAGTCACCCAGATCTATAGTATTTGTTCATTTTTAAAAAGATCTTCACAGTGAAAACAAGAATAAAACATTTTGGTAGAGAAAGCATGTGCCTCCAAGGAGAAGCCTACAGACCGTGGTCCTGGTACCTCATCCCTAGTTTAAGGCAGCCTGGTTGACCTTGCAGCAGCAAACTCTAGACAGCATGGATCTCAGCACTTAGGTGAGGCATGTTTAGCTTAGCCACCAAACTAGACTACTGTCCTGCATGCAGTATCTTCCCTTCTTGTTCATAAGAATATTATAAAAATTTCCGTTAGATGCCTTGTTGAAAGAAAATGTGCAGTGTATACCAGTTTCCTGATGTATCCAGCTCAAACCCTATAAAACAGATTTGTTCAGATTGACGTTTTTTGCAACACTATGCTTATTCCTTATGATTACTGCTTCCTTACGTCAGAAATTGTAGTGCTGTTCAATCATTTGTTCTAGGGTTTTGCCAAGAATCAGTGTCTAATATTTCAGGATCTACCTCTACTCTGGGTTTTGCCCAGAGCTGCCCTCTGCCTCCTCACTCATTTTATAAGTGTGCTACAAAGTCTCTCCTGTCAGGGAGAGATCCATGCTGCCTGGAGTGCAGTTTGTGGGGCCTTATGGCCTGGAAACCATTTAAGGCATTGGTGTGCCTTACTAGTCCATCACCTGTCCTAGATTCTGTCCCCCATTCACCTTTTCTTTATCTTTTCCCATTTGAGAATCTTTCTCCCAAAGAGCGAAGCCAGAGGCCAGCCAAAATTGAATGGTACAACTTTCTCCCCAATCTCTATCCTCTGGGTCTCAACAGATACCCAGCAGGGGCTCAAAGCCTGAGCCATTCTCCCTTTTTGAGTCTCTGAAGTAATTAATACCCTTCCCGAAATCTACTTTCTAAAGGTTTAGGATACAAGTCAGACTCTACCCAGTTTCCCTTTATTGATTTCAGAGAGAGGAAGGGAGAGGGGGAGAGATAGAAGCATCAATAATGAGTCATTGATCAGCTGCCTCCTGCACGCCCCCCACCGGGAATTGAACTGAGATCTCCTGGATCATAGGTCAATGCTCAACCACTGAGCCACGCCGGCCGGGCCCAGTGTCCTTTTTTCTTAATTATTTATGAACTATAAGATGACTTAGATTCTTCCCCCCCCCCAATTCTCATGATTTCCATTTTACCTATTTTATATTTATCTTAGATCAGACTTAAGTTCAGAGTAGAAATTCCCTTCATTACTTCCTTAACGTTCTTTATTTTCCTTTATTTAAAAAAAGTCCAATAGAGTATATTTATTGTGAGAAAATGACAAGACAGAAACACAAGGAGAAAAATTCTTTAAGTCAGGCAAGATCCAACTACCACGAGATAATGGCTTCTAACACTTTAGCATTTTAAGACTTTTTCCTGCTATATTTATACATTGAAATATATACACATTTAAACAAAAATAGAATTTATTCTATTTTCATTCTCATTATATTCAGTGATTAGCTTCCTACTCTTGGTGATACCTATGAGGCCAACTAGGTGATACCTAGTATGGGGCCATACCTTTTGTCTTATGTGAAAGTATAAATTCACATAAAGCAATTCCCTCTATGCTATAGATCAGTACCTGGACCGTTGGGCCTTTGTGGTGAAGGTTCAGCATAAAGCACCCAAGACTTTCTCATGGAGTGGGTGTGTCCTTGTCAGGGATCCTGACTGCGCAAAGCTTCTCTCCCAGGCTAGCTTGGCATCGGGCTACAGCAGCAGTGAGCAGCAAGCTTGGGTTAGAGCTGGAGTATTGGTTGGGGGAAGGGGGCTTCCCCACCCATCATATAGGGGTTGCAGCCTAGCTAGGGAGAGTCAGCAGTGCCCCTCAGAGAGGGCTCCATAGGGGGCACGGTTATGGAAGCTTGGTCTTGGTATAATCTCACTCAGCATCTTCGTGTTTTCTCAGGCTTTGTGATGGCTGGAGGGGAAAGTCTGGGGAAGGCAGGACCAGCTGTCCTCACAGCCTTGGATGGCTGAGTCTGAGGAGAGAAGGTCATCTGCTGAAAAAGATGTAGGATTGCTCAGCTTGAATGGGGTTAGTGTGGGGAAAGGTCGTTAGCCTCTCTTGGAGAAGCAGCAGCAAATAGAGACAAAAAGAAAATCTGAGACAAGTGGGTTTGGGTTCTTTTTGGGCATTTTGGGCATTGCTTTCTTTTCTTCCAACAGATCCACAGACCAGCATGGCCGCCACTGCTGCTGTCAGTCCCAGTGACTACCTGCAGCCCGCTGCCTCCACTACCCAGGTGAGCATGCAGTGGGCTCTGAGTGTGGGGGCTGCATCAGCCTGGAGGGACTCACTGAAGCTGCCATTCAACCACAGCAGCACTCACTATAACTACCCCAGGACATGAGACCAGGGAAGGGTCAGTTATCACTGTTTCTGAACTAAGAACCCATGGCCACTAACCTAGGTGCCACAGTTGGGTCAGGGGCGAAAAGCAGGATTAAACTCAAGGTTTCTTCCACCAGACTCCACTGACCAGATAAGGAAAATAGAGTCTCTGTCCCCATAACCCAGAGACTTTCCTTGTAGCCTCCAAAGAGCAGCCTTCCCTGGTCAATGAAGTCACATCCCATGCACTAAAAAACACTTTACCAGAGGGTTTATTCTTGTTGCTCCCCCCTTTCCCTCCCTCCCTTCCTTAGTTGAGGAATCAGAGATCCCTTAATCCCTGTGGCAAGCCAATGGAACTCCATCTAGGAGCTCAGGGTGGTTCTCTGTCCCTGTTAAAAACAAGGCCAGTGGGGAGTAAGTGGTCCCTGTCATGGGGTGCTTCTGGGGTACTCCTTCCTGAGAAAGGCATTTCCCACCCTTTCTCCCTTAATTACTCAGTGGAGAAACCAGCAGGGACGACAGGATCACTGCAGGGGGAGGATGCTGGCACCCTGCCTGCCACAGAAGTGGGCAGGAGCCTGCCAAAAGGAGAGGGTCAAAACGGGCAGAGGGTAGCTGGGCTGCAGGCCCTCACCTCTCACTCCTTTTCTTCACTTGGTTTTTTGCAGGACTCCCAGCCATCTCCCTTAGCCCTGCTTGCTGCAACATGTAGCAAAATTGGGCCTCCAGCTGTTGAGGCTGCTGTGACCCCTCCTGCTCCCCCCCAGCCCACTCCACGGAAACTTGTCCCTATCAAACCTGCCCCTCTCCCTCTCAGCCCTGGCAAGAATAGCTTTGGAATCTTGTCATCCAAAGGAAACATACTTCAGATTCAAGGGTCACAGCTGAGTGCATCTTATCCTGGGGGTCAGCTGGTGTTTGCCATCCAGAATCCCACCGTGATCAACAAAGGGACCCGATCAAATGCCAACATCCAGTACCAGGCAGTCTCTCAGATTCAGGCAAGCAGTGGCCAGACCATCCAAGTACAGCCCAATCTCACCAACCAGATCCAGATCATCCCTGGCACCAACCAAGCCATCATCACCCCCTCACCATCCGGTCACAAGCCTGTCCCCATCAAGCCAGCCCCTGTCCAGAAGTCGGGTACGACTACCACCCCCGTGCAGAGCGGGGCCAACGTGGTGAAGCTGACAGGTGGGGGTGGCAACGTGACACTGACTCTGCCTGTCAACAACCTTATGAACACCAGCGACACCGGGGCCTCCACTCAGCTCCTCACAGAGAGCCCTCCCATCCCGCTGTCCAAGACTAACAAGAAAGCCAGGAAGAAGAGTCTTCCAGCCTCTCAGCCCTCTGTGGCCGTGGCTGAGCAGGTGGAGACGGTGCTGATTGAGACCACAGCGGACAACATCATCCAAGCAGGAAACAACCTGCTCATCGTTCAGAGCCCCGGTGGGGGCCAGCCGGCTGTGGTGCAGCAGGTCCAGGTGGTGCCCCCCAAGGCCGAGCAGCAGCAGGTGGTGCAGATCCCCCAGCAGGCCCTGAGAGTGGTGCAGGCGGCATCTGCCACCCTCCCCACTGTCCCCCAGAAGCCCTCCCAGAACTTTCAGATCCAGGCGGTTGAGCCAGCGTCTACTCAGGTACTACACACACCCTCTGCACTCTCTTTCTCTCCTCTTTAGCACTAACTGGGTAGCAATCCATCCCACTCAGCTTGCCTTCAAAGATGCTGCTGATGCATCTCCTGATTTGATCTGAATGTTCGGAGTCAGTATCGTTTGGGGTGGGCAGTAAGTGGCCACTTCTGCCTGACAAATGGGTTCTCTTCAGTTCATAAGGCCAAGTACAGCTTATCTGTAGAAATCAGATGAAACATACCTATTTGGCCCACTTTTTCTTTATGGAGGTCTTTTAGGGGGCAGATACCTACTTTTTAATAATAATGTTTATTTTTTATTATAGAATTACATATTCAGAATGGTAGCAAGAATAAAAAAATTCCAGTCAGAACCATAGAATTTGCTATAAAGTTAGACAGTGAGAAAAATGCTGGTCATTGTTAGGAAAAAAATTGGAAGAGCAGCCTAGCTTGAGAGCAGGAACATTTAGGCTAGTCATCCGGGATGTTAACTTCAATAAGAATGCTCTCATTTTTTGGCATTTATTGAGATGCTCTAATACTCTGGAATCTACTTGGCTCTGTGAGGCAGGTTTTATTTATTGTGTATGCCTACGAAATGCTAAAGATTATGCCTGTGTTGCAGATGGAGAACCTGGAACTCAGGGAAGTTATAAGGTATTCATATCTCATTGTGCGTAGATGATAAGAGCCAGGATTCAATTCAAATTTCAAACCCCAAACTCTTTTCCATTTTCCACCTTGACTCATTGTGTCTTATGTGTGGCAGGTGCTACAATTAAAATTGAAGATGAGAATTTTTTTTTTTTAATATAAAAAAACCAGCTCCTGTCATTGAGGAATTCATAATGTCTTCTTTAGAGAGAACTGAGGCATCACAGTGAGTAACAGTAGGAAGTAGAGTAATCTGCTGGGTAGAGAAGTGCCCTTGAGTTTGAGCTATGGACATGGAAGTTAATGGGAGCCTGCCCTCAAATGCCTCCTCCCTTCTGGCATAGTATGTATTTTCAAGTGATTTTTCTCTAAATTGTTTACTTATTACAATACCTGTGAGGTTCCATTATCAAACCTACCTTACAGGTGAAGAACTGGGTGGAGATACCCTCACAGGTGCGCATATCCTCAGCAGTGCCTCTCCTTCCTTTCCTGAGGTTCCATATCTTGAGATTGATGGAGGCAGGGCTCAAACCCAGGTCTTCCTAAGGAGATAATCATACATACGCAGAAAAGTTTAGGTACAACATTATTTGTCTTTTTTTTTTTTTAATTGATTATTGATTTTAGGGAGGAGAGAGGGGAGAGAAAGGGGGCGGGGAGAGAGAAACAGTGATCTGAGAGAGAGACATCAATCAGTTGCTTCCTATTTGAGCACTGACCAGGGCTCAAACCCACAACCTGAGTATGTTCCCTGACGGGGAACTGAATCTGCAACCTTCAGATGCATGGGACAATGCTCCAGTCAACTGAGCCACACTAGCCAGGGCCAACATTCTTTCTTAATGACCACATAGTTTTCCATTATCCCGAGGTACTGTCTATTATACAACTAATACACTGTTAACTATATCTAGGCTGTTTCCAACCTTAGAGCAAAGTAAATTCCTAAAAGTGAGTCAAAGGATATGCACATTTTTAAAAAATGTATTGTTTTCTGTATGAGAGATTATCAGTCCTTGGCCCTCAGGTCAAATCTGGCTCTCCTGTCTGTTTTTGTAAATAAAGTTTAAGACATGCCCATTTGTGCAGCATTTGTACTACAAGGCAGAGACTCTTGGCCTGCAAAGCCTAAAAATATTTACTATTGCCCTTTATAGAAAAAGTTTGCTGATCCCTGCTCTACATTATGAACAAAAAGTTCTAGTAACAGAAACTTCAGATACACAGAAAATAGCAGTGATTTGCAAAAGGGCACATACCAGAAAACTAGAAGTGAAATTTGTGTTTATTAGGAGATGACATGAGATTTGTTTGCTTGCTTTTAACTGAAAAACATAGCCCTAAATAATTCAGGATTCAAAAATAACCCATTCACAACCACAGCAGGATTTTTTTTTACAAAGAACTTTTCCCCTGAATCATTTGAGCATAAGTTGCCACCAAATGTTTTATAGAAAGTGTGCAGTTCTTACAAGGACATTCTACATAACAATAATACAACCATCAAATGTAGGAAATTAAGAGTGGGTGAAACACACTAATGTCTAATTCAGAGATCCCATTTAGGTCTCGCCACTTGCCCTAATAATTCCTTTGTGGCAAAAAGTTCTCATCCGGCATCACACATTGCATTTCGTTGTCACGTCTCCTTAGTCTCTTTTGATCTGAAACACTGCCTCAGTCTTTACTCGACTATTTTGAAGGCTACAGGCCATTTATTTTACAGAATTTCTTCAGTTTAGGTATGTGTGATGTTCCCAAAGACTAGATGCAGGTTGTGCTCTCTTTTTTTGCAGGAATATCACACTTTGTGTAAATACCCTATTCCTCATCAGACTTTTGCCCACTTGTTTTGGTGTCTTTTGCTATGATAGATTTTAAAATTTAACTTTTTACTTTAGAATAAGTTTATATTTATAGAAAGGTTGCAACATTAGTACAGTATACCTGTCACCTGGCTTCCCCCATTGTTAAACATATTACATCACCAGGGTACATTTGTCAAAACTAAGCAACTGACATTGGTACATTACTGTTAATTAAACTCCAGACTTGATTTGGATGTTACTGGGTTTCTATTGATGTCCTCTTTCTGTTCCAGGATCTTGTCCAGATACCACACTGCACCTAGTGGGCTTGTCTCCCCAGATCCCTTCAGTCTGTTAGTTTCTCAGTCTTTGTTTTTCATGATCTTGACAGTCTTGAGGCCCATGGGTCATTATCCTGTAGCATGTCCCCCAGTCTGGGGTTATGGGTTTTTGGAAAGAATACTAACTACAAAGGTGAAACGCCCCTCTCATCACATTATTTGAGGGGTACATGATCACACGACACCCCTGATGTCAACCTTTGTCACTTGGTTAAGGTGGTATTTGCCAGGTTTCTTCACTGTAAATTGTTACTTTTCCCTTTCTCTGTCCTTTGGAAGCTAGTCCCCAAGTCTCCCACCTTCCCTTCCTTTCTACATCCTGGAAGGGAAAGTATCTACATAATTATTTGGAATTCTCTAAGGAAGATTTCTTTCTTTTCTACTTATTTCTTTATTCAGTGCTTTACTTTTATCAGTAGGGACTCATGTACTTTTATATTTTGGGCTATAATTCAATACTACATTATTTTTGGTGCTCACATTGTTCCAGCCTTGGCCATTTAGAGCTCTTTAGGTTGGCTCCTTATCCCTGTGACATACTCTCCTCCTCCTCTTTTTCTCTCAGTCAATTTTATTAGATATTCACATACCATAAAATTCACCCTTTTAAAGTGTACAACTCAAGGGTTTTTAGCATATTCACAAAGTTGTGCAACCACCCCCACTATCTAATTGTAGAACATTTCTTCACCCCAAAAGAAACCCTCCTTTAACGGTCACCCCATTTCCCCTTCTCTCACCCCTGGCACCCATGTTCTGTCTTCATGGATTTGTATATTCTGCACATGTCATGTAAATGGAACCATACAATAGATGATCTCTTGCAACTGGCGTCTTTCACTCAGTGTAATGTTTCCCTCCAGAAAGCCTAGACTACCCTACACTCCCACTCCTAACGTTAGAGTGAGTGCCTGTTTCCCTGCTGTCTCACCAACAATACGCAATATATTTTATTTTTCCATTTTTGCCAGTCTGAATTGGAGAAAAACTATTTTGCTCCAAAGTAAGAAAAGAACTGTTTTCATTCATTTGATGGTGATTGCATCTTTTGTGAGGTCATCATTTAGTTGCCTTCTGATTCTCCAGTTCTGCCATTTGGCAGTTCTGTTTTTCCATGCTAAGTAAATTAGATGTTTGGTTTCAAATCAACGTGCCAGCTTAGCACGGATGTAGGTTTGGGCTAGTCAGAGAAGACTTGGGCAGACAGAGAAGCACTCCCACTTCTCACTTGGGCAGGGAGATGACACTGCACTCGCTGAAAGGTGCTGGGAGCGCAGTCTCTCCTGGGATACTGACTTTTTCTCTCTGGTCCCTCCCAGGTCTACATCCGTACGCCTTCCGGTGAGGTGCAGACGGTCCTTGTCCAGGACAGCCCCCCAGCAACAGCTGCAACCACATCTACCACCACTTGTAGCAGCCCTGCACCCCGCGCTCCCCATCCGAGCGGGACCAGCAAAAAACACTCAGCTGCAATTCTCCGGAAAGAGCGTCCCCTGCCAAAGATCGCCCCCGCTGGTAGCATCATCAGCCTGAATGCAGCCCAGCTGGCGGCTGCGGCCCAGGCCATGCAGACCATCAACATCAACGGTGTCCAAGTCCAGGGTGTGCCTGTCACCATCACCAACACCGGCGGTGAGGGCGTGGGTAGTGAGCCTGCATACCCCACGTGGGAACTGTGGACTAGCCTGTGGTTCCCAGTAACAGCAGTGAGGATACTGCCTCACACTTGCCTCATCACTTCCAACTTAAAAGCATGTCTACTTGGTCCTTACAGTAGCCCTGTGAGATAGTTTAATATGCATGTTGGCCCCACCTGACAGCTGAAGACTTTGAATATGGTGGAGAAAATAACATATACTCAGGGAAACTCTTCAGCTAACACACAAATGCAGATTCGTATGGTGCAGACCAAAGACAGATCTCCAAGGGAGGCCCTGGGTAAAGAGACTTGAAGGAAGGCTTCCAAAACGAGGAAAGCCTTGAGTTAAGGTTGGAAGGAAAGAAGAGAGCCTTTGGCACTGGGAATGGCTTGTGCTGCACTTCAGCTGAGTGGGAATATTTGGTAGTATTTATAGTATGAAAGCAGCAGCCTTGCAAATCATCAAAGGAACATTGTAACTACCTCTCAAAATGGTTCCTTGCCTTGCCTTCTTTAGCTGGGTGAGGGGCCCTTTTCAGGGTAGTGGCACTTTAACACCAGCAATAGGTCAGCAGCACTCCCCTGCTTTGAAAGGCTTTATGCAAGTCCTAAAGGACTTAATTTTTTCCAAAGCCCTTAGAACTGTTTTCTTACTCTTATTTATAACAGTTCCTGGAGGCTTTCCTTAGAGTTGGTATCTCACAAGGGCCCAGGGCTGGAGGAAATTCTGGAAGAAACACTCCTCAAGACAACCCAAGACAAGACCCTTCCCAATTGAAATATGTGGGCAGCATCTGAAAGCAGATTCGGCCTGTGTGGTATAGTGGTTCAGTGCACTGACTGAAAACTGCCCAGGTTCAGATCCGAGCTCTACCGCTTATTAGCTATGTGCCCTTGATATGTTATTGAGCCTCAGTTTCTTCAACTGTGAAAAGAGGATAATAGTACCTGTTTCATAGGATTGTGAAGGTTGAAGGACTTAATACACTTAAGGCCTCTAAAATGGTATCTGGCATGTAACAGGCTCTCGAAAGTATTAGCTGCTATGGTTATCCTTACCACGTGCAGAAGGAAAGAAGGGTGTCAGCTCCCTGCTCTGCCCCTTCAGGCTTCCTCACCCTGAACCATGCCCCCCTCCTCCCCACAGGGCAGCAACAGCTGACGGTACAGAATGTTTCTGGAAACAACCTGACTATCAGTGGGCTGAGCCCCACTCAGATCCAGCTGCAGATGGAGCAGGCCCTGTCTGGAGAGGCCCAGCCCGGGGAGAAGCGGCGCCGCATGGCCTGCACGTGTCCCAACTGCAAGGATGGGGACAAGAGGTAATTGGAGCCAGACTGGCAGCCTGGCACATGCCCTGTTCCCCAAGTGCCTTCCTGGGACACAAATTGAGAGGATAAGGTAGGGCTCCACACCACCTCACCTCCTCACCTCGCCTGTGCTCTCTGACCTGACACCACATCCTATCCTGCCCCCATCTTCTGTCTCCTTCTTCACTCCTTTTCCCTGTCCCTCCTCCCCATTCTCCAATCCCAGGTCTGGAGAGCAGGGCAAGAAGAAGCATGTATGCCATATCCCCGACTGTGGCAAGACTTTCCGGAAGACATCCTTGCTGCGGGCCCACGTGCGCCTGCACACCGGCGAGCGGCCCTTTGTCTGCAACTGGTTCTTCTGTGGAAAGAGGTTCACACGGAGTGACGAACTCCAGCGGCACGCCCGCACCCACACAGGTCTGTTCCCTTTCCCCAGTGCCACACTGCCACCCAGACAGCTTCTCACCCCCCTCCCCTGGCAGGCTTGTACCCACACAGGTCTGCCCCCAGCCTCTCCCCCAACCCCCACTCCATTGCCCTCAGTGACATCAGATTCCAATTCCTAGCCCTGCCAGAGAACTGCCACTCTTGTTAGACTGTTTTCTCAGGGGTCCAAGCCTACCCAGGAAATGCTTTCAAGCCATTCCTTTATCAGTGTTCCCCAAAGCGATGCCATTTGCTTTATGCAGGCTTGATGATTTCTGCTATAGCAAATGAGTTATTTGCCAGGCACTGTATTGTGCACTTTACAGATCGACTAACTTAATCCTCACAACAACTCTATGGGGAAGGTGCTTTGATTATGCCCATTTTACTGAGGCATGGAGAGGTGGCTAGGTCATGCAGCTAGTGACTGGTGGAGCCGGGTTCAGCTGCAGGCCCGCTGGCTCCCCAATCCTTTTAATTGCTATCCCATACTGCCTTTTCCACTTTTATTTCCTGAGTGATTTTCCTGAAATTGTTTCACTATTTTTATTCATTTATATCCAATCACTATTATTTTTGATGTCATGTGTGCTTCTCCTTTTTGGGGGCTAGGATAGTGTCTGTGAATGGGCTTTGTGAGTAATGGGCATCTCCTCTTCCCAGGGGACAAACGCTTCGAGTGTGCCCAGTGTCAGAAGCGCTTCATGAGGAGTGACCACCTCACCAAACATTACAAGACCCACCTGGTCACGAAGAATTTGTAAGGCCCACTGAGGCGGGAAGCCCTGAAGATGCAATCCCCCTGGTGTCCTGCCTGGGCCCCTGGTGGAAAGGAGGCCCATGGCTGCCCTGGACCCACCCTCACTCCTCCCTCCTGTTTTGCAACTGTCCTCACAGGAAGGGGGTTTGCTGCCCCATGCTCACCTCCTTCTGAAGCCCCTTGGCTCTGCCCTGGCCCTTCCCTGTCACCAGACCGTGGACACTGGCTCTGCCCAATGAGACGTTCTAAACCAGGACGAGTGGGAACCTTTATTTCCAAAGGAAAAACATGAATTTCACTCCATCGAGGAGCAAAGTGAGCCCCCTCACCCCCCCAACACTGCCGGAGTTGCATCATTGTGCCATGCCCCTCTCTCTTGCACCTCCCTGGCCCCCCAGCCACCCTTGATGCCCCAGGCCCTGCACCCAGGGCACCACTGGCATCCACCACCTGAGAGGCTCAAGGGGCCGCCTCCACTCCACATGCCCCAGCCCCGCTACAACTCTTCTCCAGCACATTCCAACTTTCTATTTAAAAATAAAGCTACCCACGGACTCCCTCATCCCTTTTTCTATGGAGAACGTTGCCTTATACTCTACTTCAGATAATGAACACTGTGTATTGTGTGTGCTTTAAAAGTTTTATTTAATTGCTCCCTTCTTCCTGTCCTTGTTACTCACCTCCCCCATGCCTGCTTTCAGTTTAGGGTTTTGGGGGGCAATGATGAGCATATGGATTTTTTTTCTCACTAGCAATTCCTTTTCTAAATGACACAGCATTTCAATTCAAATCTGGATTCAGATAAAAACAACTTCACATCCTGAACCTTTCCGTTCTCCCTTCATCTCACCCACCCCTACCGGCCCAAGCTCTAGTTATGTACAGTGTATATTGTATAATAGACAATTGTGTCTACTACATGTTTAAAAACATATTGCTTGTTATTTTTGAGGCTTTTAAATTAAACAAAATACAACTTTATTTTTAGTTGTAACTGCTTGAGGTATGTTTTATGATTGACAGATTTGTTATCCTTTATTAACGATGTACTTCTGTTGTTCAGCAGTGGGCTGACAAAAATTTTTTCTTGCTAATAAATTTAGTTGCCTGAGGCAAAATCTGCAACTTGGCAGTGCAGCTTTCTTTGTCTTTGACCTCATAGAGTATGGAGAGGGGACTCGGGAGGGAAACCTGGTCTCTTAGAGTGATCCACACTGTGACCAAGGCAGGACCTACTCTCCTGACCGGAAAAGGGCCGCAGCCACACAGACCTCATGGTATGGGCACCAGCCCCCAGAGCACTTGGGTGGGACCTCCAGGGGGACAGGACCTAGTGCAGGTGTTCCTCCTTTGTTCTTCCATAAGCCAGTTTTGCCCAGATCAAATCAGGTACACTGCTCAGACTCAAGTCACAGCAGTGTCTTCCTTACCAGCAAGCTACTTATTCCACTCAACTCTCCAACTGAAGGTTTTGCCCTCAGAGCTTGGGAGAGAGAGCCAAAGGGGCTTGGCTCAGTCATTTCCAGAGGCTAAAGAGAACTTGTAAGGCCCACTGGCCATCTCTGCCTCCCATGGGATGCCTGAGTTAGAAAGGGGTCAAGAGAATGTATTCTGCCTAGCCTGGGTGATGGCATGAGGACAGAATGGAGAGACCTGGTGGCAAATTAGCCCTCGTCTGCTGTAACCCATCTCTTAATTTACTTGTGAGTTGCAGGGGGTACTGTTGGTACAATGTAGCCCAAGCTCCCCCCAGGACGCCTGATAGGCCCTGGTTGAAATTTGGAAGCAGGCTATCCCCAGCAGCTTGAGAGTTGGGGGCCATGCTGCCCAAGTAGTTCTCTCCTCAGGGTCATCTGCACCAAAGCCACCCTCCCTGGCCCCTCCTGTCTACTCAGTGATGCTCAACACAGCAGCTCTTTGATTCCAGATCCTAGGATTATAAGCCGGAAAGAAAAAGGCAGGGGAAGTTCCCCCATACTTAAGGCAAATCCAGGCAAAGTACCCTTTTTAAAAAATCAAACCAGCACATAGAACTCAGGCTTCCTTCAAACTACTCAGTCCATTTTTTCAATCACCTTTTGGGGGCCCTTTGAGGCCCCACACGAGTATGATGATGGGAGCCACCTGCAGCATTTCAGGTCCCTGGACCCATGAGGGGCTCCTGTCTCATGGATGTGGCTGAGGCCTACGTGGTGGTGGAGTCCAGAGAACCTAAGTTGGGGTGAGACGCCAGCTCAGTACAGAGACCTCTTGTGACCTGACCAAGGTCTTTGGGGCTGGGATAAAGCCACTAAAGGAACTACAATAATCTCAGGAAAGATGGCAACCGGGTTTCCTAGTGAAGGGGTCCTCAGGGAGTAGAAGAGGCAGGAAGTGAATCAGGGACAATGGAATAAAGAACGGGTATGGGTGAAAAGAAAGCAAACCATGGTGGGAACAGGCGGAGAATCAGGACTGTAGAGGAGAGTCAAATACCTACCAACAACCAGGGTTTCTCAATGAAACTAAGAATCACCAGGTCATATCCTTGGACCTGCCTGGGAACCTGTCATTTGGCCTTCCTCTGCCTGTGGCCCATGCTCTAGCAAGGCAGCCAAATCCAGGATTGAGTCTGATGCCCGAAGACCTCACTCAGCCTGGGAAAGCTTAACATCCTTCAAGCCAACAACATTTGACCCGGCTCCCACCAGGTACAATAAAAACCCCCAATCCCTACTCACAATGCCTAGTAGTACCTGGCTATGGAGAGGTTTAACAAAACAGTTTTTGCACAAACATGACAGATTAGCATTTCCTGGTTGGCATGTTGAGAAGGAGCCAGAGTAAGTGACATGGTCCATCCCATGAAGCAGCTTCTAATGGGGAACTTGTATGAAAACCACAGGATGTATTTGCAAAATGACCCATGAGTACATGCAAGGATCATGTGAGGGGTCAACCACATAACCACAGGCAGGGCATGGGTAAGAGTCAGCCTCTTCTGCATCCCTCCTCTGGGCCTCCTGATAACCATACTCAAGACTCAGACATCTGCTGGCAGAGCACCAAGTACCCACCCTTCTGTGTCCTGAGTTCACCCCAAGGCTGAGCCCAAGAATTCCTGAGCATAGGGGGCCCCAGCACACCCACTTTGGCCTGCCATCAGCCTCCTGGAAAGCTGGGCACTGTATATCACCAGTATCATTTCCAATCTCCTCCAACATGCCCTCCTTCAATGAACAGCACCACCCATGTCACCTAAAGTCATCCTGGTGAGTTGATTCCCTCCCCTCCATCTCCACCCACCCACATACTCAGGCACCAGGGTCCCACTTCCATTTAGACAACACTGCAGCATCTTGACCTCCCTCACCCATCATCCACTTGGTCACCAGGATCACTAAGCTATAATTGAAATAGATAATCCAATCAAACAATTTGACTAAAAGGTGATTTCAGAACATAAACGCAAAAGCATCGAAAGAAAACAGGCAAAGCGTAGTCCCCAAACCCACCCACAGCCTCTTTGTTTCAAGTGGAAAAACCAGTGTGCCTCTCTGTAAATGCAATATATTTTCTATTCATTTAAGACTCTCCCGAGAAAAGATTAATAAATTTACAAAGTTGGGGGAGAGGGTGGCAAAGTATTTAATAAAAAGCTGTAACAATAAAAAATTCATTTCTCCCACGCAGGCAAAACCCTTGCTGAGTTTACAGCAGTAGAGGCACAGCCAGCGGGCATGTTCTCCCCTCCTTTTTGCACTGCAGGGCTGCTTTGTGATTCAGACACCAAATCCCACTAGGCAGAAAAGCACAATGCAAGCCTACTTATTATTTTCAAGACAAAGGGGAAAATATTAAAAGGCAACCAGTTGCAAGCTTCCTCACTAATTGCCAAGGATGGGAGAGGCTGTTGGAATCTACTTTTTCTCCTCATCTGGTCTTTAGAAAACAGGAATTAGACACTGGTTTGACAACGGCACAGGATAAAAAAGGATCGTTGTCTAAAAGCCTAGCCCATGCCACCTGCCTGATCTTCAGCTGAGCTCCTGCCTAAGTGCCTGGCCCGCGTTCTCACCACACTGCTCCACGTTTCCCCAAGGCACCCAGCCTTCACTCACGTTGTTCCCTCTTCCTGGCACTCATGTTCCATTGTCCATCAGGCGAACACATACTCATTAAGATAAATCAAATGTCTGCGGCCTCTATCAAAGATTCCTGACTGCTGGAACCCCAGACCACTTTTGCCTTTTTGCTCCCTGCTTCCTCAGAGAAGTACCTGTAACTCTTCAGCTCACAAATCTGCTTCTCCCTACAGACTACAAATCCCTGTGGGCAGGAACTGTGTCACCATCATCTTAGTATGCTCAGACCTAGCTCAGTACCTGGTCCAAAGGAAGTCTTTAATAAATGTCAACTGAATGAATAAATATCTATACAGTTGACCCTTAAACAGCATGGATTTGAATTGCACGGGTCCACTTATACATGGATTGTTTTTTCAACACTGTTAATGTATTTTCTCTTCCTTATTTATGATTTTCTCGATAAAATGTTTCCTCTAGCTTACGTTTTTCTAAGAATACAGCATATAATACATGTAACATACAAAATATGTGATAATTGACTGTTTATGTTATGGGTAAGGTGGTCAACAGTAGGCAGTTAAGTTTTTGGGGAGTCAAAAGTTAGACGTGGCTCGGCGGTTGAGCGTCAACCTGGGATCCAGGTGATCAGGGTTCGATTCCTGGTCAGGGCACATGCCCGGGTTGCGGGCTCGATCAATGACTCTCTTATCATTGATGTTTCTATCTCTCTCTCTCCCTCTCCTTTCTTCTCTCTGAAATCAATAAAGATATATATTTTTTAAAGAGTTATATGTGAATTTTCAACTGGGGAGGGCTCAGGGGCCCTAAACCTTGCGTTGTTCAAGGGTCAACTGTACTGACTTGGCTTTTACCCAAACCATTCAAATGATCCTAGTCTTGGGGTACTAGAATCCCAGATCCAGGGTAGTACAGCCAAGGAGTGCTAAGAATGTGGACCCATGAACAAAACCGACCGAGTTAAAGGGCACTAATTACTGCTTATACAGATTTAAGTGCAGGTACTTGGGAGGAGGGGAGGACAGCAATGTTCATATGCGGAAACACAACTTCAATAAGAAAGAAAGTCCAGTCAACTCTCTCTCTAGCATGTTGATGGAGGAAAACAATGCAGCAAAAAATTCCAACTAGTGGAGAACTCACATATCAACATTATTAAGCCTTGTGACATGTATTATTTCTTTGCAGCAAATTTGTGTTCCAGATTCTATTTGGCTCAAGCTATGTGCACATGATAAAGGCTGATAGGTATCTCACGTAGGGCTTTATGAAGCTTAGCTGTAATGCAGACACCTGGGCAGGACAGGAGGTTCCCTTACCTGACACAGTCCTGGGTGCCTGCCTAGATGGTTCTTGCAGCTCCCCTTCCTCATGATGGTAGAAACCAGGACTACAGAGACGCCTTGACCCATGGCTGCCCCAGCCAGGTCAAAGCTGGAATAGGCACTGGCAGGTTTCCCATTTCTCAGTCTTGCATCAACATCCTGAAAATGACTTTGCACAGCCACCTGTACCCTCAGCTATGGCTGGCATTGACTTAGGTATCAAACTCCAACTATCTAGGAAGGGCAAAATGTGGAAAAGGGGAAACTCAGCAAAGATGGAGGAGGCCCAGGAGAGGTGGGGCAGTGGAAACCTTTCCATCTACCTGGCTAGTCTGCTGCACCATGAAAGGGAAAGCCATGAGCGAAGGAAGCAGCATGCTCTGGCCTGTGGTGAAAGAAATGAGGCTGGAGAGAGGGAGTTCGGGGCTGGAAGAGGAAGCTGGCTCTGGTCTGGGATAGCTTGATCCCAAATCTTCCTCTTCCCCTTTCCCATTCAGTTGTCTTCCTTCTCACTCCACAGTCTCTTCCTGACCCCACTGCACCTTCCCAGGCTCAGAGCACCCCCCCCCC